AGGGAGCCGGCGTCCGAGGCGGGGGGGTGGGCACGCGGGTGATGTCACCGGCTCGCCGCCAAGCGCTGCACCGGAATGCGGGCCGGGGCAGGTGTGCAGCTCGCCCCCCTCCCCCCGCGCCGTGCCCAGGCGGGGCCGCCTCCTCCCCCCGGGGCACGGCACGCGGCAGCCTCAGCCCCGGCTCCCCTGCCCAAGGGCAGCCACGCGCCAGCGCCGGGAACGCCCCTTCCCGCGCCCAGCGGCGCCCGCATTTCTCCAGGGGGCGCCCGGGCTGGAGCAGTCCTGCCTCGCCTTCCCCTGCAGCCGGGGGCAGAGGGGCTGAGCCGGCGCTGCGAAGACGCAGGGAGACTTCAGCCCAGTGGGGAAGCAGCCCCCTAGCCCGTGCTAAGCGGCGTCCGCGTTCGTCCTGCGCGCGCCTGGCTCGGCAGCGGGGGGACCGTCGCCTGGAGCCCCGCTCTGGGCAGCGCCCCGCAGCAGGGGGCAGGCAGGAAACCAGGTTTCCTTACAAAGAAACCACCGATCAGCCCAAGGAAGCTGAGACAGAGAAGCCCTGGGCTTTCCCAAAGCCCCAGATGGAGTGGGGGCCAGGCAGGCCTGTCCTGGGCTGGGATCACTATGGGCCTTCTGGCTCCTATACACACCTTCTTCAGACAAGCGTTGCGGGGTAAGTGCCCTGGAAACCTCGTGAAACGACTCGACCTTTTTGCCTAATGAACAGTTCAGCTTTCAGGCAGCGGTGGAGAAGCGTTCAGGAGTGTCCTGGAGTCACAGGGCAAACACCACACCCACAAAGCCTAACTGACCTGCTACAAGGTTGAGCCTCTTCCACTCCTGAAACAGCCAAACCTGCCTTTGTCCCCACTAGCTAATACTTTGGGGATGATATCAGAACTTCCTCGCCTTACCCCCATCGCCTGCTCTCTGGGGGGTTCCCTCTTCGAGGCTGTTCTGGCCTGCAGCACAGAGATGGTTTGTGGTTTTAGAGTAAAGAAATGAATGCTGCCCTTTGGTCCCTACCCTAATTGTAACACAGCCTGGACTGCAACTGCTGTTTCCACACTGCTAGGAGACTCAGAATATTTTCATTCCCAGTTGGCCACGGTCCACATGGAAGCCTCAGATACATACTGTGTGTTTAAGGGATTTAGGCTGAGACCCCCTATGGCTGGGGGGCCAGACTGACAAGGTCACGCTACAGGAACATTACAAACAGCAGGAAGGGGATTTGCTTCTAGGCTTGGTTCTGGCAGTATGTATTCATTTATCCAGTGCCCATTTCTGGGGGCAGCATGTGAGCTGCTTTTGGACTTCAGACAGAATTAGGCCTGAGGTCCAGAAATGCAGCTATTCTCTCATTCATTATGTATATAAAGCCCAAATAATCATTATTTGTATTACTAATGCCCCCTTATTCTCAGTGCTTTCTCACAGAGCTTACCTTCCAAATAGACAAGAAAGGGAAAATTTTACAAATGGGAAACAGACACACAGAGGTGAATGACTGGCCCAACCTGACACACCAAGTCTCTGGCTTAACCTTAACCAGGAGGCCATCCTATATCTCCCTGTAACCTACAGTAGTAAATTTATGATTCTTGGAAGTCTAACCCACTTCGCAAAGCTAGGATCAGGGGCCAAATGGGAGACTCCCAAGCTCCCAGGACCAGCAGCAGAGGAAGTGTTCAAAAACTCTGAGGAGGTTGTCAGCATCAAGCCCTAAGGCGTGATAGGACTGTCACTACCCACCACGATCGGAAGAGTATGAACAAGCACCATGGCCAGGATGGGGTTCTACAAAGAGTGTGGAAGTAGGGGTGGGATCAAATTAAGAAAAGGGAAGTTGAGGTTAACTATTCCCAACTCTACTACGTTATGGGATTGTCTCCCAGAGGGAAGGGGTGGGAGCCCTGTGCTGGGGGCCTTTCGAACTGGGCTGGACAAAGTATTAGAAAAATCTCTTGCTGGAAACTGCCTAGATAACCTAATAGCTCTGTTGTCTGTGGGACTGATCCAAAGCCTGTTGAAGTCAATGTGCTTAGGATCAGACCTTACGACCTGCAAACCAAAGCACAGGATTATTTACAATAAATTCTTCCTACCAACCAACTCATCCCCTAGCATTTCGCTCCCTCGCCCCCACTTACATGGGCTGGAATGTCCAGGCCACAGTATACAGGATTATACTCGAGTACTGTCTGTACTCCACCAGATTTGCCATGTGTTTCTTTGAGTGTGGATTAGGCTGGCTACGTAATCAGGTAGCAGACCTGACCTACACACGTGCTCACAAGCCAACAGTACAGTAGTTAGAGACACAAAAATAGTGAGAGGTATTAATTGGGCCAGGAGACAAAAGCAGGCTTGGGGATACAGAGCCAGTTTCCAGGTAAAGCTTTTAATTCCCACCGTCTGTCTAATGCCTGGAAAGTAACATTATTTGACCCCTAGCTCCAGCAGCATGATTCACTGCTACCGTACTGCACGGACCCTCCTTTACTGAGAGGGGTGAATGTTCCCTTCCTAATGAAAGGGTGGAAGATACGTGATCATTTAAATATTACAGAGCGGGCTTCAGCAGCCTGACAACTCTTCAGTAAAAGGAAGAGACTCTCAGCACCGACACTCCCTGCTGCTATTGCATTGAGAGTGATCCCATCCTGGGAAGAGCGAGGGAGGGGGACCTTTATCCCTTTGAGAAGGTGAAATTGATCAAAGCAAAATTGACATCAAAGCTGTAACCCGATGATGGAGAAGTAAGTATATCAACCCTAACGTACAGCTGTCTCCACCAGTGGTGTATATTGTTGGCAATTACAGCACCAGCTCAGTACACACGGACTTGCAGGTCAGCAACTTGTGTCGCTCCTCAGAGTGACACTAAGCAAAAGCAAGGTTTTGCAAAAGCAAGGTTCACCAGATCAAGGCATTGATTGATGTGCTGCTATCCAAAGCAAAGAGGTCCTCTAGTAAACAGAGGACTGGGAGTCAGTCGTCTCTCCAACTTTGGCACCGATTCAGGACAGCCATTCAGCACATGCTTAACTTTAAAGTGAACTGTTATCCTGAATGGCGATGGATTTAAACACATGTGCTTTCCCAAATCAAAGCCCCTGCCACTGGCTCAGTCTGTGATCTTGGACAAGTCTCTTAACATCTCTGTACCTTAGTTTCCTCATCTGAAAATTATTGGAAATACCTTACAAGGGTGGTGTTATTCTTATTTGTATTGCTGTAGCATGTGGGAGTCCCAGTCATGGAGTAGGACCCATTGTGCTAGACTCTATACAAACACGGAGCCAAGAGACCATCCCTGCCCCAAAGAGGGAACAAACTTCAGCTGAAGCCTGCTTCCTAAATGAAGAATATCTCTGGCAAAATTCAACCTAATTTTCTCATTCAAAAAGTAGGGCCAATTTCTGCTCTGTTACTCCAGATTTACAGCAATTAAACTGATTATGGAATCTAGTCCACTAAATTTCTTTATGTTATGGCATTTACAAATGCTCCTACCACTTAACATTGAGATAAGAGGTAGTAACATTTCTAAGGGATCTTTATTTACAGTTGCATTAGACATAAGCTCTGGGGGATCAGCTTCTCTGGTGAAAAACAAAACCATACACACCAAGAAACCACCTTCCTGCTGTGCTTGGCGGGGCTAGTCAAGGTCACACATGCTTAGAATGATTTGCTCAAAACTGATCCCACATTAAAGTTTTTACCTTAAAGCATCGCTACAAATAATAATTTACATTCCATCCAAGGATCTCAAAGCACATTGAAATATAATTGTCAAGGAGGGCTCACTGCACGCTTGTGAGATAAGGAAGTAGCATTCGCCTCGTTTTACAGCTGGGAAAACTGATGCACAGACTGGTGACATGACTTGCCCAAGGTCATGCAATGAGTCAATGTCAGAACTTGAGACCAGAACCTAGCAAGTTCCCACTCCCCTGCTCTAACCGCTTCCAGGGCTGGATTAAGGCCGAAGCACTGTGGGCCAGTGGCCCCTGGGGCCAGGTGATAACGTTAGAATTCCATCTTTCCTTAAAAGAGTTTCTAGCTCTTGTGGTTGCAAAGAAAAACCTTGAAAATGTTACACAAGCACAACTGATGCAGTATTGTCTGCCTGAGCCTGCAGAGAGCCTGAAACAATATCTCTGAAATGTGTGAACTTCATAGCGTATTGCAGAGGGCACTAACACCAAGATCCACTGCTCTGGAGGGCCATCCCAAGAGAGGATTCAATGTGACAGAAGAGTGCAGTGAACCTGGCCCACTTTCCCAATCAGATTCACCCTAGCTGCTGCCCCACTACTCTCAAGGGAAGGGGAACCCCTCCTGCCACCCCTGCCTCTGGGGGTTGGGGAAGGCACCCCACCTCTAGCACTGTGGATGCTCAGCTGTTGGGAATGAACCTACTTCCACTGAAGTCAATGAGAGTTTTGCCATCCACTACAATAGTATCTTGATGGAGCCCCTTCCATGCACTGCACATATCCTACCTGGTTAAATACGCATTGCATTTGCTAAATAAATCAGTCAGAGCAAGTAGGAAACTTGGTTCAATTATCCCAAGAGGCTTACTACAGGCTGTGCCGACTCAGGCACCTCAGCAGCATTGTAAACACAGCACATCCTGGCCCCCGCTGTTACTCCGTGCAAGTAATACACAAGGTTATCCATTCTCAAACATGCCCAGCTAACCACCATCATTTGACCAGATTTAACCAGTAATTACTGGCTGGGAACAGAATCCCTGTGGTAAAATACAGCCCACGCGCCTTTGCAAAACAGACACAAACAAAAACCTTTTGAAAAGCCAGTCACAATGCAAACTGCTGCAAGAAAGAGCCCTCTTTGCACTCCTTATCGCTGCTTAAGATTCATAAACACGGGCATGGCTGGAGGATTTTTTGCTGCTTTCTTACCACCAGACCAGTCAGCAAGGACATGGGAGAAAGCACGA